AGGAAGCATTTGGGTTGTAATAGCAATATCAGATTGACTTCATTTCTTGATTCTGAATCTTGGACCTAGTTGTGGTTGGGAATTCTACAGTGTGTCTTGTTAAATGCCCAAGTCAGGAAGCTTTTATTATCCAAAACCTCTTTATAGCTCTTGGTGATTATATCTTGGATGAGAGACAAGGAAGAGCTCTCAAACTTTCACCAGAGCGTCAGCAGACACCAGGAAAATGTGCCCTGTGAACACATCCCCTCGGAGCCCACTGGCAGCGGAGACAGATGTGATAGATCACGACTGCAGGGAGCTAAAGGTAAGTACCGCCAGAGAGAGAAGGCCGAGGAGTTTGTCATGTCATCAGTACCCACCCTTCTGCCTGCAGCCTCATGCAGTTTTCTGGCTTCTGTGGTTTTAAACCATTTTGATTAGTACCACGGGGAAAAGGCCATTTCTAAGTCTCTTCCATGGTTTATGACTTGGAGCAAACTCTCTTAAAGAGGTATGGTTTTTTGGTGACAACTGCTTTTACTTGGGATGGAACTTCAGAGCAATATTGAACAGTCATTTGGGTGGGACGGTGGGGTGTAGGGGGGGATCCACAATGGGCACCAGGCTGACAGCTAGGTGAGAAATGGGTGAGGACGCTGGTGGTTTCTCTCCCACTTTAACATCCTGCCACTCAAGTCAGCACGGTTTTTATCTCCATCATTTCCAAACATTTTTAGCTGTACAGATTTTGTTTAAGCAAAGCACATATAGAACCCCACCATGCAAATGTGAACAGGCCCTGCTTCAAGAGCGGGAGGGCACCTGGAGTCCTGTCTGCTCTTGTTCCGTCTTCTCCATCTCTTAGAACCTTGAAAGTCATCAGGCACGATTTGAAAACCCCGGGGTTGTTTTGAAAGACACAAGCTTTGGAGACCATTGAAGTCAGATCCTGGCTCAGCACTTGATTTCCCTTCTCTTGAACCTCTTTTTCTTTTCCTTTAAATCAAATATACCAATATCTTTTTATAAATATTAAATCCTAAACATATAACTTATAATAAACCATGAACAATGTGTGGAAAGTGTCTGGCCCCCTTGAGTGTAGGTGTTCAATAAATAACAGTTTGATAAGGCCTCAAACAAGCCCCCTTTGCCGGGGCTGTGGGGGGTTCAAATATGAATAAGAGACTTCACAAAGCTGAGGGTCTGTTCCCTTCTCTAGGACGCGTTAGAGTAAGAACTATAGATGAGGAAACAAAGTGCCGTGGGAGGGAAAAGGAGGGAGTGAGCATTTCTGATCCGACTTCCCATTGCCTACTCGGCGTTATTTTGCACTTCTTCCTCTGTAATAGCAGCCCTAATTTCCATCTGGAATCACAGTTGCTGGGAATGAAAACCACATTTCCCAGCATCCCTTGCAGCAAGTGGCCATGTGACTAAATTTTGGTCAATGAAATGTAAGCAAAAATGAAAACCTCTTTCAGAGACACTGGTGCTTATCCTTCCTTCCATCTTCTCCCCACTCACTTCCTCTGTCTCACTGCTGAGAATGTGCCTGTCTGACTGGCTGTTTCTGGTACCTGCAGTTGTATTTAGCACCCTGAAGAAGGCACTGGTTAAAAGGAATCCTTGGGGAATTAAAATGTTAATAGATGTACAAAGGATGAATAATTTCATTTTTCTTCAGTGTATCACAAAGCCTCAACAGTGAACTTTAACTGATACATCATGTAGCAGGTTTTCTCCAAAGAGGTTAGGTGGCTTTGTGATTTTAAACATCCCACAGTCCCATGGTGGGGGTCCTGCTGATTATGGACAACTGGATTTCAGGGTCTCAGGCAAAGTTCCCTCTAATATTTCTTTTTTTTTTTTTTTTGAGACAGAGTCTAGCTCTGTTACCCAGGCTAGAGTGCAGTGGTATAATCTCTGCCCACTACAACCTCCATCTCCCAGGTTCAAGTGATTCTCTTGCCTCAGCCTCCGAAGTAGCTGGTATTACAGGCAGGCACCACCACGCCCGGCTCATTTTTGTATATTTAGTAGAGACGGGGTTTCACCATGTTGGTCAGGCTGGTCTCGAACTCCTGACCTCAAGTGATCCGCCCACCTTGGCCTCCCAAAGTGGTGGGATTACAGGCATGAGCCACCATGCCTGGCTGGTTCTAATACCTCTAAGTTATTAAAAAGACAGCCAGTATTCAGGGTACAGTTATTGATGTTCTTGGGATGAAAGGCAGCAGGCACTGGTGGACTCTGTTTCTCTGATCTCATCCCAGATCCTGAGAGGCAGAAGGGCCTGAGCTAGGGGGCCTCTCCTGGGGTGTAACTAGGCTCCAGCAGAGAGGGCCTTCTCAGAGCTAGAGCCTGAGGAAGGGTCTGGGCTGCCCCTCGGCCAGCTGTCTGGCAAGATTACTCAGACTGTCAGGGCCTGATTCCAGGATGATATGAGTTAGCTCTGTGTCCCCATCCAAATCTCACCTTGAATTGTAATAATCCCCGTGTGTCAAGGATGGAGCCAGGTGGAGATAATTGAATCACGGTGTCGGTTTCCCCCATACTGTTCCTGTGGTAGTGAGTAAGTCTCATGACATCTGATAGTCTTATAAAGGGGAGTTCCCCTGCATAAGCCCTCTTACCTGTCACCATGTAAGACTTGACTTTGCTCCTCCTTGCCTTCTGCCATGATTGTGAGGCCTCCCCAGCCATGTGGAACTAGGAGTCCATTAAACCTCTTTCCTTTACAGATTACCCAGTCTCAGGTATGTCTTTATTAGCAGCATGAGAACAGACTCATACACAGGAGAACAAAGGGCTGGGATGGGGATGAAAGTAAAGGACAGGAGGACATCCTAGGGCTCAACTGGAAGGAGGCATGAGGGGCTGGAGAAGGGAACTATGCTGAGGCCATCTGAAGAGCCCTGGATTCCCTGGCCCTGGGTCACCAGTTGGACTGAACAGGGCAGACTGTTGTCGAGTGAGTGATAGAAGTTCTCTCCAACCACATCATGCCTCCCTCTTACTGCTGGAAATCCTGCCTGTAAGACATAGGACTGAAATTGTACCAACGTGCGTGGGAGAGAGTAAATATCTCCTTTTTAAAAAGTGGGACACTCTGGGATTATGAGTCAATTCAACCAGCATGGTGTCCTGTGATCACCACCCTGAGAAAAGGGGAATTGGGCTGAGGAGAAGAGGATGAGAGAAAGAGACATTTAAATGCCAGAGGGACATAAGGATGAGTGTTTTGACAAGACAAGGGGACACCATGAGGGCACAGACATGATGCATGTTTATTGAACACCTACCACATGCCAGATATTATGCTAACACTGGGGACAAACCTATGAAATCAAGGCTGCCCCTGGTTTACTTTACAGTGTTGGTTTGTGCCAGATCATGTCCCTTTCTCTTGTTCTTAGGAATCAGACGGAACAATGTTGCTCTCCTTTGGAAAACAGGCCTCTGCTCACTTCATCTGCCTGGCTTATGGTCCTGTGTGATAGTGTTGGAAAGTAGCCTGCAGGGCATCTCTACATTTGGCAAGAGCTGCCGTGGAGACAGAATCTGTGCTCTACCCCTCAACAGCTCTCCAGCAAGGGACCCCTTCTCACCTCTCCATCCTTGGCCAGGGGAAGCTGGTCAGGGCCATGCTCATCTGGGTTGGATGAGGCTCTTGGAAGGGAATGTGTGGAGGGTCTTGAATCATACAAAATGGCTCATGTGTGCGGCTTGTTGGGGTCACTGGTGGAAGGGTCCTGGGTTCAGGGGAGAAATGTGGCTTGCCACAGAAGACAGAGCCTGCCCACTGAGGTGCCCACAGGGTGGCAAGATGAAGACTCCCAGACTCCTTGGCCTGGGGCCTTCTTTCTTCAGCAGTTCTCAGCTGTGGAGCTGATGGGCTGTGATCTGTTAAGGGATGTGTTAAAAAGATCTATGCTGTAACTACTAGCATTTATTGAGCTCTTATTACAACCTAGTCCTCATACTAAATGCATGTATGAACTCATTTAATCCTCCCAACAATCCCATGAGGCAGGTGCTGCCATTATTATTGTTGCACTTTTATAGGTGAGAAAACCAAAGCACAGGTAAGTTAAGACTTGCAAAAGGTAGGCAGGAAGCAGCAGATCCAGCATCTCAGCCCTGGCTGTCTGGCTGAAGTCCCAGTGATTATCTGCTATACTCTATGGCCTTTATGCACTATCAAAATACTGAAGCTTGAAAATTATTTTTTAAAACATCAATCAGAAGGGCCTTCAAGCTATTACTTTAATCCTTATCCCTCATAGTGCTTCTGTAGATTGCAGCCCAACAAGCTTTCTTTAGTGGACAAGACAGACGTGGCATTACAACCAGCATTGGGGGAATTCTGCCTACCTCTGCTTCTAACCACGTATTTGTATCCTGAAAGTGACACCTGCTATGCAAGAGACAATTCTTTACCAAGGTCTGGTTCTCCTTTTTCCTGGGCAGAGCTAACCTACAGCTCTCAGAGTCCCTTATAGTTAAGTGTGGCAAAATGACCAGCTTTTGCCAATGAGATGTGAGTGGAAGTAATGAGCATCACTTTCAGACTGCAGGGAAGCGCCTGTGCCTTCTCCATCCCTTCTTTCCCTTTCTAGTCCCCAAATGCATGGGGCCTGAAGGCTGTAGACGGTGGCAGAGCCACAAAATAGATGGAGCCTGTGTCCCTAAATTGAGATGCATCCATGAATCAGGAACATTTGCCTTTGGCTCTTGAACAAAAATTTCTATGGTATTTGAGCCTGTGTACATTTTGGAGTCTATGTATCCTGTGGCCTAGCCTACCCTAATACATGGTTTTCTTTGCTTATCAAAGATTGAGTTTGGCTGTTTTTGAGAACCTCAAGAATCCATGAAAGGGCCTGTGGAAATTTCTGATCTCCCAGCAGTCCTGTGTTTAAACAGCCACACTCCCCGTTCCCCAGGTGCTGTGCTCCCCATGTGAGGGCAAGGGATGTTGTGTCAGCGGGAATCTGATGCATGCATTACATTACCACATCTGTTTCCTTCAAGAGAGGTTGCATTTCTCTTGGGACTGGAGGCTGCGGGCCTCAGCCCAGGTGCCGAGGGGCCACCAGAAGACATGGGGCTGGTGCGGGGACCACCAGCTGTGGCAGCAGGACCTCCCCCAAGGTGGCTGTCTCCAGAGTTCTGCCTCTTGCAGTACAGCGAGGAGGAGGGGGGCAAGGAGCCCCTGTGGTTAAAGGTGGAGGCGGAGGGGTCCATACCGTAGCGGTTCATGCCCACAGGGTTCACCAGGTACTCTTCAGTGGTGACTGTCTTGGCTAAGCAAGAAGACAGTACAGAGAAGCAGATATCAGAGAGCAGTTCAGGAAGCTACCAGACCATCCGTCTTGGCAAACCCTGCCCTGCCAACAGAGTCCCCAGTATGTGTGAGGATGGAGAGAGGAGAAATTAATCCCACAACATAATTCCAAATAGCATACCTGTCAGCAGGCTGAGAGCTGCCTCGCCCACAGGAGCATATTTGTATTAGGAATTAGGAGGTGTGCTCCTCCATGCTTAGAGGAAAATTGATATTTTGGCCATTGATGACTTAAGAATAAGCCCAAATTGGGCCAGGTATGGTGGCTCCCACCTGTAATCCCTAAACTTTGGGAGGCCGAGGCAGGTGGATCACCTGAGGTTAGGAGTTCAAGACCAGTCTGGCCAACATGATGAAACTCTGTCTCTATTAAAAATACAAAAAATTAGCCAGATGTGGTGGCAGGCACCTGTAATCCCAGTTACTCGGGAGGCTGAGGCAGGAGAATCGCTTGAACCTGGGAGGCGGAGCTTGCAGAGCAAAACTCTACCTCAAAAAAAGAAAAAAGAAAAGAATAAGCCCAGATCAAAGACCTTCTTCCACAGTGGCTCTGCCCTCACAGTCTCTGCTGGCTTCTCAGAATCTCCCTGTACTTCCTGCTCTTGCTCGCCCACCAGCACAGCCCCCCTCACCTGGCGCAGGACTCCTGGGAGAGATCAAGCAAGAGTCACAATGTTCCAGAGTCAGGAGAGACGACTGTGTGGCCTGGGTGGTGGCCCAGGTGCCACGGTGCTTTCTCCCCACACCTTTAGTCCTGATAAACATGAGGGCGGCTGTCCTCCTCCACGGCTAACAAGCAGCGATGCAAGTGTCGATCTGGACAGCCCCTCAATCCTCCCCAAGCCCTTCACAGGAGTGCTAAAGAGCCAAGCTAGAGTGCAGCGGGGGAGAGGACTTAGAAAGTCTGCCAACCTCATCATCAGTGCCTCTTAGGTAAACCAGGACTTATCGTTTTTGTTTTTTGTTTTTGTTTTTGTTTTTTTTTTGAGATGGAGTTTCAATCAATCAGTCTGTCACCCAGGCTGGAGTGCAGTGGTGCGATCTCAGCTCACTGTAACCACCACCTCTCGGGTTTAAGTGATTTTCCTGCTTCAGACTCCCAAGAGTAGCTGGAACCACCATGCCCGGCTAATTTTTATATTTTTAGTAGAGACGGGGTTTCACCATTTTGGCCAGGCTGGTCTCGAACTCCTGACCTCAAGTGATCCATCTGCCTCAGCCTCCCAAAGTGCTGGGATTACAGTCCTATACTTTTAAATCTCATCACTGAGCCTGTTGAACTCCCTGTGAGCTATACCTGTGGCCGAATGGTGGGTTTTTTGTTTGTTTTATTATTTTTACACGGAGTTTTTTTTGGGGGGGTGGGGGAAGTCCAGAGAAATTATGGTGATAGAAAGAAGGAAACTATTCTAGTCCCTCCCACCAGGACAAGATCATGTCTACCTATCCCCAGCAATAATTATCTGTATATTAGACACCATCAAAACAGATCTTGGTATGCCCAAAGAAAATGCAATCAGCAAAAAAACAAAACAAAACAACAGCAACAAAAACCAATGGATCCTCCATGATTGGCAATGAAAAACAAACTTGAGGCCACAAGATCAGATGCCTTCTCCGTGCATGGATTCTTCCACAGTGTAGGTATTGAAGATTAAGACTTGATTTTATTAGGGGAGCTAGCAGATCTTCTCCTAGTTGGGGATGGATGTGGAGCTTGACTGGAAATAAAAGTCTTTGCAGATGGGATACAGCTAAAGTAGTGATTAGAGGTAAATTTAGAGCTGCAAATTCTTCTGTTAAAGGAAGAAAGATCTCAAATGAATAGCCTAATCTATCATAAGACACTGGAAAAAAATCTTAAAGCAAAGAAGGAAATAAAGATTTGAGCAAAAATTAATTCAATAGAGAATTTTAAAAAACAATAGAAGAAATCAATAAAACCAAAAGCTCGTTCTTTGGAAAAAGAATCCACAAAATTGCAAGGCTTTAGCTAGATTGACAAAAAATAAAAATAAAAAATAAAGAAGGAAAGAGAGAGGATTCAAATTACTAGAATCATAAATGAAAACCTGAAATTACTACCAACCTTACAGAAATTGAAAAAGATTAAGAAATACAGATGGATGCTCTTTGCTTACAATAGGGTTATATCCCAACAAATTTATCATAAGTTAAAAATATCATAAGTTGAAAATGCATTTAGCATACCTAATCTACCACACATTATAGCTTAGCCTAGCTGACCTCAAACATGCTCAGAACACTTACATTAGCTCACAGTTGGACAAAATCATCTAACACAAAGCCAATTTTACGATAAAGTATTGAATATCTCATGTAATTTACTGAATACTTACTGAAAGTGAAAAACAGAATCGTTGTATAGATACTTGAAGTATGGTTTTCACTGAATGTGTATCACTTTCACACCATCGTAAAGTGAAAAAATCATTAAGTCAAATCATCTTAAGTAGGGAACCATCTGTTCTATAAACAATTTTATGCCAGTAAATTAGATAACTTAGATAAAATGAACAAACCACTAAAACTGACTCAAGAAGAAAAAGACAATCTGAGTAGACCTGTAAGAAGTAAAAGGATTGAATTAGTAATCAGAAAACTACCCACAAAGAAAGCGCAAGCCTGGATAACTTCATGGTTGAATTCTACCAAACATTTAAAGAAAAAATAATACTAATTCTTTACAAATTCTTCCAGAAAATAGAAGGGGGTGAAATACTTCACGACTTCTATGGCAAATACTTCTACGAAGACAGGATTACCCTTATACCAAAACCAGACAGACACATCATAAGAAAACTACAGACCAATATCTGTTATTCATATGAATGCAGAAATCCTCAACAAAAAACTGGCAAAACTGAACCCGGCAATGTGTGAAAAGATATATACACCATGACCAACTAGGATTTATCCCAGGAATGCAAGCCTGACCAACTAGGATTTATCCCAGGAATGCAAGCCTGATTTAACATTCAAAAATCAATTAATGTAATACACCATATGGATAGAATAATAAAACGGAGATCACACAATCATCTTAACAGATGCAGAAAACATTTGACAAAATCCAATACGCTTTTATGATAAAATCACTCAACCAACTAGGGATAGAAGGGAATTTCCTCAATCCGACAAAGGGCATCTGCAAAAAACCTATAGGTAATATCATGGCTAATGGTCAAAGACTGGATGCTGTCCCCCAAGATCAGGAACAAAAAGAGACGGTCCCTTCCAGCTACTTCTATTAACATTGTACTAGAGGTTCCAGCCAGCACAGTTAGGTTAAGGAAAAGAAAAGCCATCTAGATTAGGAAGGAAGAAGTAAAACTATCTCTGATGTGTACGAAATCTTAAGGAATCCACTTAAAACACTGTTGGAACTAATAAATAGTTCAGCAAGGTTGAAGGATACAAGATCAATGTGCAAAAATCAATTGTATTTCTACACATTTGCAATTAACAATTAGAAAATAAAATTGAAAATAATTCCATTTATAATAGTATGAAAAAGAATAAAATAAAATACTAAGGAATAACTTTAATGAAAGTTCAAACAAACTCTGAAAACTACAAAACATTGTTGAAAGAAATTAAAGAAGATATAACTAAATGGAAAAAAAAAATCTCATGTTCATAGATCAGAAGGCTTATTTTCAGGGTGGCAATTCCCCTCAAATTGATCTACAGATTCAGCACAATCCCTGTCAGAATCTTCACTGATTTCTCTGTAGAAAATAACAAGCTAATTCCAGAACTCATATGGAATTGCAAGGGACACAGAATAGCCAAAGCCATCATGAAAAACAAAAACAAAGTAGAAGGCTCACACTTCCTGATTCCAAATTTAGTACAAAGCAACAATCATCAAGACAATGTGGGAGCTCATCATGTTAAATGAAATAAGCCAGGCACAGAAAGACAAATATCACATGTTCTCACCGATATGTGGGAGCTAAAAAAGTGGATCTCATGAAATAGGGAGTAGATTGGTGGTTACCAGAGGCCAGGAAGGGCAGAGGTCAGTGGGGATGAAGAGAAGTTGATTAAAGGTACAAATATATGGTTTTATAGAAGAAAAAGACCCAGAGTTTGAGAAATCACTTGAATGACTATAGTTTACAACAATCTATTAAACATTTCAAAATAGCTAGAAGAGAATAATTCAAATGGTTATACCATAAAGACAAATATTTAAGGCGATGGATGTCCCAGTACACTAATTTGATCTTTACAAATTATATGAATGTATCAAATGATCACATGTACCCTAAAATTACATACATCTATTATGCATTGATTTAAAAAATTGTTTTTAAAAAATAAAACCAATGCCATTGGAGAGGGAAAAAAGACAGTGTGGTTCTGGCATTTGGATAGGTATACAGGTGAATGAAATAGAATTCAGAGTCCAGAAACAAATCCATGTGTACATGTTCAGCTGATTTCCACAAGGGTGCCAAGACCATTCAATGGAAGAAAGAAGTCTTTTCAGCAAATGGTGCTAGGACAACTGGATATCCACATGTAAAAGACTAAAGCAAAACCCTTACTCACACCATATATAAAAATTAACTCAAAATGAATAAAAAACATAAATTTAAGAGCAAAAACTATAAAACTCTTAGAAAGAAACATAGGGGGTAAATCTTTGTGACCTTGGATTTGGCAAAATATTCTTAGATTTGACACCAAAAGCACAAGCAATAAAATAATAAAATAAAATAAATTAGACTTCATCAAAATTAAAAACTTTTGCACTTTTGCACTGGGCACGGTGGATCATGCCTGTAATCCCAGCACTTTGGGAGGCAGAGGTAGGTGGATCACATGAAGAGTTCGACACCAGCTTGGCCAACATAGTGAAACCCCCTCTCTACTAAAAATACAAAAATTAGCTGGGCGTGGTGATGTGAGCCTGTAATCCCAGCTACT